GCGCCCGGGACCCAAAAAAAAAAAAAAAAAAAAAAGCAGGTAGACTGTGGAAGAAAGTCAACTGCCCTGGGGAAGGGTTTAACTTTTATTTCCTTTTAGCTTTGCCCTAGGGGTGGGCTCATTCACAGAGCAGCATGGAGGAATGTGTGTCTAAATTCCAATAGAAGCCCTGACTTACTGGTGAAAAGGACCAGAAAAAATAACGCCCCTGTGAGATGAAGAGTGTGCAAGGAATCCAGGAAGGGAGAGAGCTAGAGAAGGAAATACTCTAATTCTGTGCACAAACCAACAATGGCCTAAGAATAACCCCTAAGCTGTACACATGCAGACCAGACTCAAACCAGCATAGCGAAGTTTTAAGAAGTGAATTAAGATTAGAATACACAAGTCTCAGCCTAATCCATGAGTAGTGTAAGTACAGAACACACCCAAACCAATGGAGAGAAGGCTGAGAGAACGGAGCTGAGATCTGCACTATGCATACAAGTTGCAAACTAATCCCTGAACTACACATGACAGGGCAGACCCAAACCAACACAGCAAAAGTTTAGAGAAGTGAAGTGAGATTTAAACTATAACTTACAGAAAATGAGGTAAAACTTACAGTCTAAACATAAACTAGTCGGTTAAAACTAAAATAAAACATCACCTTTCTCCAGAATATTATAACAGGACCTGGAGTCAACAGAACGTTGCATTCGTAGTAACGGGATGCAGAGTGTTCTATTGTTCAACAGAAAAGAACCGAGAAGAGGAGGAGCTTCAAGACGGCGGAAGAGTAACGACGCGGAGATCCCCTCCCCCCCCACAGACACACCAGAGACACATCTACACGTGGAACAGCTCCTACAGGACACCTGCTGAACGCTGGCAGCAGACCTCAGACCTCCCGAAAGGCAAGAAACCCCCCACGTACCTGGGTAGGAAAAAAGAAAAAAGAATAAACAGAGACGAAAGGATAGGGACGGACCTGCACCAGCGGGAGGGAGCCGTGAAGGAGGAAAGGTCTCCACACACTAGGAAGCCCCTTCGCGGGCGGAGACTGCGGGAGGCGGAGCGGGGAGCTTCGCAGCCGCGGAGCAGAGCGCAGCAACGGGGGTGCGGGGGGCAAAGCGGAGGGATTCCCGCACAGAGGATCGGCGCCGACCGGCGCTCACCAGCCCGAGAGGCTCGTCTGCTCCCCCGCCGGGGCGGGCGGGGCTGGGAGCTGAGGCTCGGGCTTCGGTCGGAGCGCAGGGAGAGGACTGGGGTTGGCGGCGTGAGCACAGCCTGCAGGGGGCTAGTGCGCCACGGCTGGCCGGGAGGGAGTCCGGG